TTCCCTACAATTAGGAAGAATAGTGTGTCGTTTAAAGGACTGACAAACGGCGTGTAGTTCAAATCGTTTAAAGAACAAGAGACTTCCGTGTCGTTTCCCATTTTTACCTTCGCTTGTCGTTTTTTTTTAATTATTCGCTGCTTCTCCTGATCGATCCCGTCACCAGGAGGAACCCTAAATCCCTCTCTCTCTCTCCCGCCATAGTGATTCAACTCCCAAATCTATAAAAACCCAAAACCCAGGTAAGAATTTTGGATTCCGATAATCGCATTTGGAAAGTTCGCGTCTTGCCGGAGAGTTTCTGACAGAATTTTCCTGCCAGCCAAACTGTAAGGCGGAAGATTTTTCCCGTTGACCTGTCGGATTACGGCGGATGAGGAGATGGACTCGATTATATCTTCGGCACTGGAAGAAATATGCTGCCAGGGAAGCACAGGGATCTCTCTCTCGTCGTTGTGGCTTTGTCTCTCTCCTCCTCTCTTACCGTCCGCAAAGGCTTGCGTCTGGGCAAATCTTCTGGCTGTCCCTCAGCTCCAGTTCAAGGCGAAGAACACCGTGTACGGACCGTCCGATGCTTCAATTCAGCGGCTTGAAGATGCGGAGGAGCTCGATCTGAGGATCGTCGCCGGTGAGAAGCTCCGGGATAACTTCGTTGGCCTGTACGAGAACACGAACATCTCCACTGTTCAGCGTCGCGTTCTTGAGCGGTTGGCTATTGCCAGGTTAGAGGTTTGGTGCTTGAATTCGCGCTTTTGTGCTTAAAAACTGTGAAAACTGTCAAGCTTTCTCTTGTAGTTTGTTGATGGGTTTCGTATTAGATTGATTCTACTATGCTGGGATTAGCTGGTCCTTGTTCTAGTTAACTGAGAAAGATATCAGGTAATAGCTACAATTATCGTGGCTGTTGATGCAGAACCAATGGCGTTGCACAAAATCAACTTGCTAAAGAGTTTGGGGTAGAAGGGAGGAACTTCTTCTACATTATGAAACACCTCGAGTCCCGACGGTTAATCGTGAGACAGCCAGCAATTGTGAGGACAAAGGAACTTGATGGCGAAGGAGAGTCGAAAACCACCTCATGCATTAGTACCAATATGATATATTTGAGTCGTTACGCCAAGCCTTTGGGTACACAGCAAAGATTCGAAATCTGTAGAGATGATTTTTCTATGGAGACACCGATGAAGGAGAATGAAGCTACTGTTACAGGAGATGATCAAATGTCTGAAATTCCTAGAGAGGATATGCTCATAAAAGATTTCCTACCAGCGATGGAAGCTGTTTGTAATAAACTTGAGGAAGCTAAGGGGAAGGTTGATATATGTGAAATATTCTTTTCCGTAATGCTAGATTTTGTCACCTCTATTCTCATATTCTTATAGTGCAGGTTCTAGTGATCTCAGACATTAAGCATGACCTTGGGTATTCGGGGTCGTGTTCAAAGCATAGAGCTTGGAGAAGTGTAATCATACTTTTACTTCTTTTCTTTTTTTGTAATCTTTTTAATCATTTTTTCTGTACTTAAAATTGTGAAACTCCTCCAAGCAGAAATTTTCAAGCTTCTTTCCATATAATTTTTCTTTTATTTCCTCCCACTTGGTCTGTTTAGATTATCAATCAGTCATTCTAAACAAATCTTCTTCTGCTCAAGGAACTCAGGTTTGTCGCCGGTTGAAAGATTCTCATATACTGGAGGAGTTTGAAGCTGTGGTGAATAATAAGGTGAGAAGTAATGCACAACTGATGCTAAGGTTCTAGTCTTATTTTCTCAAATGCATGCAGGAATTATCTTAGCATTTGTTTTTCAGGTCGAGCGATGCCTCCGGCTGTTAAAAAAGTTTTCAGCTAAAGATTTTGAGTCTAAATGTGTTGCTTATGGTAACTATTCTGAGAAAAAGCAACTCAAGTTTGGGAGGAGTATCCAGAAAACTGACCAAGTTGTGGAGCTTCCTCTAGATTATCAAATTTATGATATGGTTGATGCTGAAGGTTCTAAAGGCATGGCTGTCATGGATGTAAGTGGATTTTACAGGTTTGGCTTATAGCTTCCCAGATAAATTTTGATTTCTCAGAAGAATCGCCATAACTTTTGAAAGCCAGACAAAACTTGTTGTTGAGGCTAACTTTTCTTCTCGGCTCTATATTACTTGAATTTTAGGGAAAATGATGTGGAGAAGGAAAAAGGTCATATGATTACTTCTTCATTCACCTATTCCGTTTCCTGTAATTAGGTGTGTGAGAGACTTGGAATGGATAAAAAGAAGAGCTATCCTCGGTTTTATAGCATGTTTTCCAGAGCCGGGATGCATCTGCAGGTAGAAAGCCACAAAAAAACGACGGTGTTTCGAGCTTGGACTCCTCGCAATGTTGATCCTGCATCTTCTGAACTGTTACATAATAGCCCAGAAAATCTCAGCAGGGAGAAGAAATTACCATTCCTCGAATTTGGCACGCCTCGTGTTGATGCTGGGTTGGATCTAACCCCAAAGGACTATGGTCATTCAGCTGGGGATGGTGACCTCACTGCACCTACAAAGTTGATTGATTCTGAAAGTAATTCAGGAGGTCCCAATGGTTCCCCACTAGATGCTACAACAGGAAACATGCTCACTTGCCATGCAAACATGGAAGAACCACTCCATGAGATAGGTGATAAGGTCTTCGATGCTGAAATTGATGCTCCAGACTTAGTGCCATCAGAAATTAATTGTCTTGTTCCAGTGAAGTCACCCAAATCTAAAGTGCATCAAGCTCATCCAGTTACTGTGGATAATGCTCGAAGAGAGCGGAGAATACTTGAGCGCTTACAAGTAAGTCCTACTCCCTATGCTCTTAGTAGACATCTAGTTTATGCCGCAATTTTTTCTCTTTTGGCTGTGCTTCAAACTGACTCGAAACTATTTCCGTTTTTTGTTGGGTGGGTTAAAGGAAGAGAAATTCATTCTGAGAGCAGAGCTGCATAAGTGGCTTCTGAATTTTGAAAAGGACAAGTGCTCAAAAGTGGACAGGAAAACCATTGACAGAATCTTAGCTAAGCTTCAACAAATAGGGCATTGCAAGTGCATGGCCATTAATGTCCCAAATGTTACTAACTGTGGTCATAACCGCAGATCTATGGTAGTTTTGCATCCATCTCTTCAAAGTTTGACTCCAGACGTCATTGGTGAAATTCATGATAGGATTAGGTCTTTTGAAATGGAACTTCGTGGCCAGAGCTTAACTAAGGGGAAGGGCAACAAGTCAGTTCCCATACTGAACGATGTCCAGAGACGTCAGACTAATGTTGATTTGGATTCAAGGGCTAGCAAATCTGAAGCTATGCGTGCCAATGGTTTTGTTCTTGCAAAGATGGTCCGCGTAAAGCTGCTACACTGCTTCCTTTGGGACTACTTTAGTTCTTTACCTGGCTGGGAAAATGCTTTGTCATCTATAAATGATCAAAAGTTTCGCAATATGTTTGCACTTGAAGATGCCTTTGGGGCCATGCCGCTTGAACTATTCTTACAGGTTGTCGGATCTACTCAGAGATCCGATGACATGATTAAGAAATGCAAACAGGCTTTGCGTCTTTCTGACCTTCCAAACGAAGAGTATAAGCTTTTGATGGATACTCTTGCAACTGGGAGGCTGTCGAAGTTGATTGACATTTTACGCCGGCTGAAGGTAATATTAAATATATGAATACAGCATTTTATCACTACTTTCAGGACAGAGTGGTACAAGCAATGATTGTACTGCCTGTTCCCATGCTTATTTTGCAGTTGATTCGGCTTGTAAGTAGTGGGCACAGAAGCAATGAAGTCGAGGAGAAATGTGCCAACTTGACACACACAATGGAGCTTAAGCCTTATATAGAAGAACCCATTTTTGTTTCCGCTACATCTAATGTCATATCTCTTGATCTCCGTCCTCGTATACGACATGATTTTGTTTTGTCGAGTAGGGAAGCCGTTGATGAGTATTGGCTAACTTTAGAATATTGTTATGCTGCCGCTGATCATAGAGCTGCCGCACAAGCATTCCCTGGATCTGTAGTCCATGAGGTATAATCTTAATATTCTATTTCAGTGCTTGACATCAAAAGTTTATCTGTAAAATTTAAGAAATAGGATGTATTTCATCTATACTCGATATATATATATATATATATATATATATATATATATCGAGTTGCTTACCTATATTGGTATCTACTATTGCCACCTGTGTTGATCGTACTTTTTCTAGGTTTTTCTTTTCCGCTCGTGGGCCTCAGTTCGAGTAATGACAGCAGATCAGCGTGCTGAACTCATAAAGCGTATTGCGAAGGACAATGCAAAGGACAAACTTTCGTTCAGAGAGTGTGAGAAAATTGCAAAGGATCTCAATCTGACCTTAGAGCAGGTAGATGCCTGTTCTGCTGTAATTTTGCATACTTTATTGTAGCCTCTTTATTATTGTTAATTTGTTATCACTTGATTATTTAGAAAAATTTATCCAGGACCAGGTTACAGCTGGGGCCATGGTTTTCACTTGTATGTTTAGTGATCTTAGAGCTCTTGTCAATTGCAAAACTAGGTTCCTATTGGTGTTTCTGATTGAGGAATCTTATATATGCCTCTGAAGCACTACTATGTGTTTCTGATACACCATACAGCTAATAGGAGTAAGGTCTAGGATCTTTTTCAATTCTATTGTCAGAGGGGGGGTTTGTCTTGTTTCTTTTTCTCCTTTCTTTTTTTCAATAAAGTATCTTACGTTTTTACGGTTGCTTATCTCAGGTTCTTCGTGTCTATCATGACAAGTGTGAAAGACGGTTTAAGCGGCGTAAGGTGATACTAAGCTCCAAAAATGAAAATGCATTGGTGGAGTATTGCCCTTCATCATCTTCCCACGAAAGAAAGAGAGTCCGTGCCGCAACTCCCATGAAAGCAGCAGGCGGCGGTGTCAAACAACAAGGTCATCGGAAGATTCTCGATTCTGACACTGTTGAAGACTCAAATGGAGATCAGGGTTTTCTAGATTCATCGCAAGAGGACAACATGGATCAGGAGCTCAATCAACAGGAAATTGCAGGGAAGAAAGAACTAACCAAAGATGAAGAGCAGTGCTCTTCTGTCATTAAGCGAACTGCAAGTGCAAAGACATCAGTAACACAGCTGCAAAGATATACATGGACAGATGAGGCAGACAGGTAGAGATGTCGTTAGCCATCTAATTAGTTTCTATTTGTGCTTCTGTGATTATTAGGGAGGAGCGTACTATATTTTGATTAATGATGTTGCTGAGCACATTTCATGTACTGTTCATGCTGCTGAGAAGCCATAGCTTCCATGCTATAAAGAACCAATTTGATTAGGATCTTAGGAACCTTTTCAGTGCATTTATACCTCTAAGTGTGTGGTGATATCTCAGGGATTCCCTCGTGATTACTTTTATACATGATTCAAGTGACTTTGTGTTTGTTAGCGGGTTGATTTTCATTTGATTGAGGCTCAATGTCAACACTATCATTATCTACTATCTCTTGTTACATTCAATTGATTTACTCGTCTGACGTAAAGGTTTTCTGTTCAGGAAATTGTTGATGAAATATGTTAGACACCGTGCAGTTCTTGGGGCAAGACCTCATGGGGTAGATTGGGCTTCAGTTCCGGAATTACCAGCACCTATTGCTGCTTGCAAGCGGCGAATGACAATATTGAAAAAGAATGAAAATTTCAGAAAAGCCCTCATGAACCTTTGCAATCTGCTCAGTGAGCGGTATGCAAAACACCTAGAGGGGAAACAGAAAAGTTTGCCCAGTAGCAATCATCCGCGTGTTCTTCTTAGGTGTTCATGCGAGGACAAGAACGGAAACCATATTGGTTGTGTTGCAAACTGTAAGGATTCTGGATGTGATGGAGAGAGGTGGGATGATTTCAATGAAACGAGTGTAAGGCAAGCATTTGATGATGTGCTTGAGCTAAAAAAAATGGCAAAACTGGTGGCCTCTAGACAAATCAGGCCTGGCTCTCGGGAATGGTCCAACAGAGATATAACGGATGAAAAACATGTGCGTCCCGATCACTTCACTTTTGTTTGTTTGATACCCTGCCTATCATCTGACACTTCACTTTCATTGGCATTCATGTCATGACATGCATTCACTATTATCTGGGGGGTCATGGTTCTCATGTTGCTTCCTTTTTTAATTTCTGATAAGTAGATTGAACTGATGTATGGATCTGCAGGATGGTGGAATGGTTTCTCCAGCGACTCACTCAAAGGACACTCAGAATGTTGCCGTGGAACAAGTTAAAGATTCATCTCAAAGATCTGGACATTATCGTCTTCATCAAAATTTTAAACTTTCGAATGAAGCAGTCAGCTCTGATATACAAGTTCAGCGATCTCTGGCTATTTCCAGTGCTGTAGAATTGTTAAAGCTTGTCTTTCTGAGCATGCGTACCGCACCTGGCATGCCAAATTTGCTGGAAGATACTTTACGGCGATATTCAGAGCGAGATCTCTTTGCAGCCTATAGCTACCTGCGAGACAAAAAGTACCTGGTAACTATCTGTTCTTTCTGGTATCAGGGTTCTCAGTTGGCTGGCCTAATTCATTTTTTGTCTCCTACTCTATTTTATAGAGAAAATATGACATGCACAGAATCTGAGACTATTTCTTAACCATGGCATATTCTACTTTGAAGTATCAACTTCCTCCCATTGGATTAGATTACACTTCCGGAAGAAATTGTTTTTTTGGTTTGCTCTTCATTATACAAAGAAACAGGATGTTTGTAATGATAGTGCTGAGGTCATTTTCGTTTTTGGCATTTTTCGGGAACTTGTTAAAGATATGTAAACACAATCTGAAGTCTTTCTTTTCTCAACAACTTGCAGGTTGGTGGAAGTGGTGGACAACCATTTGTACTTTCTCAGAGTTTCTTGCATAGTATTTCAAAGTCCCCATTCCCAATTAACACTGGAAAGAGAGCAGCCAAATTTTCCAATTGGCTTCTAGAAAATGAAAGAGATCTCATGGCTGGGGGAGTCGATCTTACTTCAGATCTGCAGTGTGGTGATATTTTTAATTTCTTTTCCTTGGTTGCTTCTGGGGAACTCTGCATTTCCGTGTCCTTGCCTGACGAAGGCGTTGGAGAGTGTGAAGAACGGAGAGGTTCAAAACGCGGAACTGATGGAAGAGAAGAAATCGGCAGTAATAGTGCCAAGAAATTAAAGTTACTAGGTGAAGGTGAAATCAACTTTCGGAAGGAGAAGGGGTTTCCTGGTATAAAGGTTTCTGTTCGCCGTACAACATTTTCTACAATTGATGCGATAGAGTTGTTTAAGGATGATGGTTCTCGCAATGGTGAACTGCATTCCAATTTCAACGAGATGGACATAGACTGTAATGTTGATGATATGAAGGAAATTTTCAACTCCAGTGATGCAACTCTCATACCAGAGAATCTAGGCGCCTCGCCATGGCAAGCAATGGACAGGTTTGCTAATTGTGTGATGGCCAAATCAACAGACGAGGAAGTTAGTTTATTCAATCCCGAGATTTTTGAGACGGTTTCCAACATGCTTCAGAAGGCTGGTGATCAAGGTTTGAGCCTTAGAGAAGTTCACAGCCTTATTGATATTCCTGGTACAATTAACGCAGATCTCTTTAATAAGCTTGCTTTTGCATGTTTTGACAACTTTCTTGAGCGGATGCATACGAATCTCTCCAGTCTAACTTCTGCATATTCATCTGCTGCAGAGAAGACGAGCGAATGCATTGTAGATGTACTTCTGACGTTTGGGCTAGCTTTGAAGGTTCGTCTCTGAGCCCTAAACTGCAACTCAGTCTCAGTGATTTCAGTAATTTGGGAATGTTTTATCGGTTAGTGGTGTAAACTTGGCCTCTGAGTTATATTAAGACTGAAAAGTTGCTGGTTTCTTTTGCTAGTTTACTTTTCTGGGGCTCAAAATTCCTCATTTTTAATCTCTTACACTGAACTTTAGCTGACGAGAAATGATTTTACATAGGTAAATGGATATGACTGTGTCCGTGTTGTTGACTCTTTGTACCGGTCCAAGTACTTCTTGACAACAGAAGGTGGGAATTTCCACAAACGTCTTCAGCAGCCTATATCGGTGAAGTTCCTGGAGAAAGATTGTGGGGAAATTAGGGCAAGTAATGTCACTAGTGGCTGCAGTAATTCACAAGATGAGCACGTTATTACCAACAACGTCCACCAGGTTACGATTCTTAATCTTCCTGAAGTGTCCCGAGCGAGTGGTCTTGACAAAGAATCTGCCTCAGATCCAGCTGTCTCTTCCGGAACAAACATTGACACTGAAGTGAGGGAATTCTCTTCTGGGGAGTTATGCATGCCCATAGTTCCATGGATAAATGCTGATGGATCCATAAATAAGGTCGTCTTTAGTGGACTTGTACGCCGTGTACTTGGTACCGTGATGCAAAATCCCGGTATAACAGAGGTATGTGTGTGTGCGCACGCGCACGTTCATTCTCCATTACCGCCTTATGATTTGATACTAGTCGGTTTCGTTCTATTTGTAAAGCATTGCAATTTCACCTCCTCCCAATAGATCTTAAGCAGTAACCATAGAGCAATCCCACCATCTTGGTTTGAACTTCGAACAGTTTTCTGATTTGCACATACATTTCATTTGGCAGGACGAGATCATATACCGGATGGACGTCCTGAATCCCCAGGTAATACAATGCTTCTGCCTCTCTAGATTTGAGCCACGTTTATAATCCTTGAGATTAAACGGAGGGGGAAAAGAAACCTACGGTATATCATTGCAAACCGAGACTTAACCTTTTGGCAATATCTTGGAAGATATAACTAGACGTTTAAGACAGGGCTATTTCCTTGTCTGAATCAGAAAGTTAGATCATGGAGGTTCCTTAGAGTGTGTGCGCACGTGTGTGTGTGTGTGTGTATATATAACAAAACTCTAATGACATGGCTAAGGTTAAACTCAGAGATAGATGGCATTCATGTTCTGAAAACCGAACATAAATCTGATCGATTCTGACAACTTGTCTTCACATTTTCTGTTCTCAGAACTGCAAGAAGCTGCTGGAGTTGATGAAGCTGGACGGGCATATCAAGGTTAGAGAAATGCTCCAAACGAAATACACCGGACCTCCGTCTCTATTGGCGAGTCTTCTCCCGAGCCGTCCCCCCGAGAAACAGAAGCTCATTCGCCAGAAACACTTCTTCGCCAACCCTAATAGCCTTGGGGCATTGTAATAGGGGGGGG